TTTCATATGAAAAGCACTTCATAAAACCAAAAGTGATAATAAGCAAAATAAAGTAGGAGATATTGATTAAAACATAATAATTAGCAGTTCTGGTGATTACAGATCCATTATTAAAAGTATTTTAATAAATTCAGACTAAGAATTCAGTTTCATAAAATCAGAAGATACACAAATGCCCACACATGTGTGTATGTGCATGCTCACACACACACACTCTGAAGCCAATTTCTTTTCAATTTAAGAAATATTAATGATCGAGTTGCAAGGTACACAGTAAGGACCTATAAATTTTTACCAGTTCCTATCCTAAATGGTTCTATACATTGAGAAATGAACTAAGGAGATGAATCCCCTCATCTAAACCTTACATTAGAATATGGCAAACACTAGATTACCAACATTTTGACTGCAATTTTAAATATAAGAAAATGAATCCACAGAAGATGGTTATACACCTTAAAACTACCACCACTGTCAAATATATTCATTTGTCTCTCTGTATCCCAGGCAACTTGTAACAACAGTGTTTTCTTCAATGAGGAAAATTTTGCTTAAAACCTTTAACTCTTGGGTACTTCCTACAACTAAGGTGTGAGATTCTTAAATTGTCTGCTGTTCATATAGCTTTACTGTGTAAACTACACTAAACAGGGTAGTCAATTGCTGATGTGGGAAATAATAGTATCAATTCAACTATTACATTGAGGTTGAGCCAAAGCTGATATACTGTGCAGTATTATATATTTCCAATACTTTTGTTGAATATCAATACCTGGAGTATTTTCCTACTTGGGAAATACTGGCAGAGTAAGCTCCTTCCCTGACAAATCACTAAATCACTTTGGCAACTAGTTGCTATTAAGACATTTGTTTTTCATTGCCCACTGAAGACGATGGCTGAAATATTTCAATTTGCTATACTGAAAGCTTAGAAAGATCTGTTAACATGTTTAGAATGATACACAAAGACACCAAGTTAGGTGCTGGGTAACCCAGTACCTCTTGCTTTGGGTTATTTGCCTTCACCAGTTACATGACTATCTTTACATATAATTTCTCTGCCTAATGTAATCATCTTCCTCTCTCTACTGTCTTTCTACTAACCCCTGTATGTTTAGCATACAAAATCATGTTTGATTTTTGGTTAACAAGAATAGTGACTGAACATTATACAATGTAAAGTTAATCATATCCTCTGTGCACATAGAAGATTGGGGAAAAAAAAAAGAGGCAGAGGAGGAAATAAAAATGTTCCAGTAGTAACTTCCCATCCAATAAATGGTGCTGGGAAAACAGGACTGCCACAATCAAAAAATAAAATTAAGGCTACTATCTCACACCACACACAAAGCCAATTCAAAATGGGTAAAAGACTTGAAAGTAACACCTGAAGCCATAAAATATATAGAAGAAAACATAGGCAAAAAAACATTCCATAACATACATCTCAGAAACATCTCTGAGACTCATCTCAAGAAGCAAGGAGAACAAACAGCTAGGACTACAGTGAACAGCAAAGTTTTACAGCAAAAGAGACAGTAATCAAAATAAAAGAGACATATAACAGAACAGGGTAAAATATTTGCACACCATACAACCAATAAGGGACTGATATCAAAGACCCACAAAGAGCTTACACATTCAATAAATACAAAGCAATCAAACCAGTCAAAAAATGAGCAACCGAGCTGAAAAGACGCTTCTCCAAAGAAGAACTGTGAATGGCCAACAGGCATATGAAAAAATGCCCAACATCACTAATAATCAGTGAAATGCAAATCAAAACCACAATGAGATACCACCTCACATCAGTGAGAATGGCACATATTAAGGAAAAAATTGGAAACAAATACCGGTGAGGATGCGGAGAAAAAAAAAAAAACCCTTTTACACTGCTAGTGGGATGCAAACTGGTCTAGCCATATGGACCCTTTGCCTTTTGTGGAGGACCCTCCAAACACTAAAAATGGATCTAACGTATGACCCAGTAATTCCACTCCTAGGAATCTACCCGAAGGACACAGAAACACTAACTTGAAAGGAAACCTGCACTCCTACTTACAATAGCTAAGATATGGAAGAAACTAAATGCCCCAAAATAGATGAATGGATCAAGAAGATGTGGCATATATACACAATGTAATACTCTTCAGCAATCAAGAAAGATAAACCCATGCCACTCACAGCAACATGGATGGAACTGGAAGGGATTATGTTCAGCGAAATAAGTCAGAAGGAGAAAATATGAAGACAGACATTGGATGGTTTCACTTATAGGTGGAATATAGGAAAACAGAACAAAGGGTCAGGTAGATGATGAAACTTGTAAGCTGACCACTGATTTGAGACAAAGAGAAAGGGAGGGGGAGGGAGAGGGGTAAAAAGGGAAGGGAAGAGCACATGGACATATGGGTGGCTGGTTGTGGTGGTGGAAAAACTGCAGGCACTGCACCTAAGGGAGAACAATGATATAAAAAAATGAATTAAAAAATAAATAATAATAAAATTTTAAAAAAGAATTACTGTTCTGGCATTCATCTCAGTATTTATTACCTTGTATTGCTATTTATGCTCACCTATGTGTGTCCTGACTCAGTTATATCAAAAGTTGCTTGAAGTTGAGAATAAGTTTTATTATTTTCAGTATCAACACTCAGCATCAATACATGCTACTAAGTGGCTCTTAATGCAAAGTTATTTGTCCATTCTGTGTCCACTATGGACCCAGAGCTATGCAAAGAAATGGGAATTACAGAAGAAAAACAAGAGCCCTATCCTTAAACATACAATTACAACAGTGAAAAAACAGGTCAAAGTGAAGAGAAAAAAATGGGGAAAGCAGCATAGAGTAGGATCTGGTGCTCTTGTATTTCTCGATTTGTTGAGGATGATATTAGGAAGGTGACATGGAAAGCTTCCTGGAATGAAGCATGTTTGAGCTAAGTCCAACAACAAAAACAAGGGAACACTAGGAGTAGAAAAGAAAAGGGGCTGAGGGAGGAAGAAGCATCGAATAGGGAAGCAACTCTTAATTATTTCTCTTCTATTGTTTCAGTTTAGTTAACTACCAAACACTATTCCTCACACTATATTGTATACAGGCTATTAATTCTACACATGTAAAACACATGAACATGATATAACAAATTTGCTCATTTCACCAAGTTTTTTTGAAGCAAGATTTAATCTAACCCATTATGATTAATTTAGTGGGCTTAACTGTCCAAACTGGGAAGTTAAAATTACCATACCAATTTACCTATGTTAGCAGTCTGATATACTTAAGCTTTACATATAAGATTAAATTATGTATCTCATATAAAAATCTTACATACCATAAAATTCTCTGCCTTTTACATAGTGGCAAATGTTAATCAAGTCTCAGTTAAAGTTATTCATTTATGGAAGAGAGGTTTGAGTCCATATGCCATTTTCTTTTTCTATACTTCAAGGAAAAGGTCTGGATTCTTCAGAAAGGAATTTAGTGAAGTAATTACTGCCAGATGCTATGAATGAAGTCAAACCTCAATTGCCCTGACAGACTAAAGGGTAGTTAATATTTTTTTGTTAGGTATTAAACTACTGCTAACAGTATCATTAACCCTAATTATAGTGAGGCATACTTTCAAGTGAAAGAACGGAACTGCCTTGTTATTGAAAATCATTAGGGTGAGCTTAACAAAAATAATTCCTTAATTCCAAAAGTTCTGGGAGATAGCAATACTCAATTTCTTAACAGCATGTTAAAAACCTAACAATTTAAGAAGCATTTCAATTTCATTTTAATTTCACAACAGTAACTAAGGCTGGAAAGTCAGTTTACAGAAGAGTAAATGTTTCATGAGTAAGATAAGATTTGCCTTAACACTGCTAAGAGAAGGAAATGGCATTAGAAAATGTTCTTCTGATGCACAGTCCAGTTGCTTTTTCCTTTATAACGTTGCTTTTAAAAGTACTATATAATACAACTATACTTCCATAAATTATATCCCTTAAACTATAGCGGTAACTGGGTCTTTCAGTAACATACTCCGTTCGTTGAAGTGGCATATATCTACACCTTTTATTTTATTTACATTTTGTTCACGTATTATTTTGGTTAATTTAGCACACAGCATATTATCAGTCATTCTTAGTATAGCTAATATAAGTTAACTGTCTCACCTATCTACGTCTTTCCCTGTTTCGGACTTACAAACTAAAGGAGGCAACAGATAATATTTAACATGAGCAATCAAAGAATGACTACTATCCTCATCTTGTCCTTTTGCCGAGTTTCATTCTGTGGGAAGATCCCAGTTAATCTATTCTCAACTCAGAGAAATGGAGGAAGTACAGCAACATGGAATTCCCAAGATGAGATTTCAGTTGTGCCAACAATTTTATCCTTCTCCAATTCAAGGCTTCACGCAGCTTGGTGCTAAACCCCTACTTAATTTCGGCAGTGGGAATACAGGTGTAATGTAAATTTGTACAGCTTCAGGGAACGCTATGATCCTCCTGTGCCACATCAGATGAACAAGCAAGCGCTCAATTTAGTTTGGAAGGCTGGTAATAAGCACTTTATATCATTACCAGTCGCTTCTGTCCAGAAAAAAAGACGTACAGTGAAACAAAAGCTACTTGACCTCGTTCTGCATTCAAAACGTGTAACTACGCTCCAAACCTCTCTCAAAATCTTTCAGGCTGGGTTTCTGCAACCATCCCCCCCTCGATTTTAAACAAGTGGAGAAAAATCACTGAAGGCAGGTAACTGTAGTCCTCAAAAAGGAGGGTTCACGCTTAAGAATCTCCCCAAACCAGACCAGCTACTCCTCTTACTAAAAGCTCTAGGCTGGCGGCGACTACCAGAAAAATAGCAAAACAAAAGCAGCTGCCAGCTCCTGCAGCGGGCATCAGGGCCCTTGCCTCTCCAAAGACCTAAAAAGCGCTTCCCAAGGACCCCAGCCCGTCCCTATTTCCTAAACGCTAGCATCAGCTTTTAAGACGCGAAAGGATACTCTCCATATTCGAAAATATCCCACGACTTTACTCGGGAAGCGGCAGTCGCGGCAGTGGCACAGGCTCAAAGGGATGCAGCGGGCACAAGCTGCCAACCAAAACTGCGGCCCGCCTCCAAGCTCGCGGGTTTTCAACCCCACTTCCGGTTCCCGCGCACCGCCGGCTGGGGGTGGAGCCCGCGACTCCACGTGGGGGCGGGGCTGGGACAGCGCCAACATGGCTGTGTGGTGAAGTGGTTAGTGCCGGCCACTGTCGCTTGGTGGCGTTGCGGGATTCGGAGGCAAAAGGTTACGCCCCGCCCTCTCGAGTCCTTCGCGTGCACGCTACTACGCGGCGCCCAACGGTTTTCTTCACATCACGCTAAGCTGCTTGCTCGGTGTTTTGTACTCCTCGAAATCGTCCCGCCTCACCTCGTACCTCAGATTTCATACTCCACTTCGCCCCTCACCTCAGTTCTGAGACTTTAAAGGAAGGAAAAAGGTATAGGGATTTTTAAGTACTGTAGAATGTGTGTGTGTGCGTATATTTGTACAAATATGTGTGTAGATATACATATATACGCACGTGTGTGTGGATATCTGCGATATTATATGTACATACGAACGTGTGTGTGTGTGTATAAATATAAAATATTGTGAAATAAGGTATTAATGGGCCTGGTAGTTGTGAGTTTTGAAGTTCAGTTGAAGTTTTCAATATGATCATGATCCTTAAACTTTTAGGTTCGAAGCGGCCGCCAGAACTGCCTCGATTTAAGAGGTAAAGTCGCCGAAAATACGAATTCGAATGACTGAGGTATTTACAATACGTTTGTGAAATGTGAAAATTACTTCAAAATCTCTAAAGTCTAATGGGATGGGGTCTTACTTAAAATACTAAATAATGGCATTTTCTACGTGACTCACTGAAGTAATCAAAGGTGATTGATTAGACGCCGTTTTATGGATAAATGTGAAGGAGTGGGATGTGTGGTGTCGGTGACGCCACATTACAGTTCGCCCCTCTTGGAAATTCCCAAGGAGGAAGGCAAAAATTAGCTGGCATAATTATTTTCTGAGAAATTTTATCAGATTAGCTTTATAATGTTCTTGTCCGTATAATTTCAATATGTAGGGGAAATAATGAGTATCTGGCTAGACATTTTATCGTTAGGGTTGTCTCCTATTGAACTGAAATGGTTCTGAAAACTGTTTTCCTCGTTTGTGTTAATGATGATTGGTAGGCTTCAAACTCTTACCTTGATGCTGGAAAAACATGCCTTTTTGAATAAAAAGTTCTGGAAAAGTATTATGTAGAAACTACTTCCACAGATGAAACCGTATAAAGATTATTTTTATTTTTTGACCCCACTATATGTATGTATGATATATGTATATCGCATATACATATTAATGATCGAATATTGATTTTAATAGAAACAGAACTTGACTGCATCATTACTTCATTAATTTGCATGCTAGCTAAACAATTGTATTTCACAGTTTGAGAATTTTTTGACATAAAGGTAAAAAATATTATTTAAAAAATTCTTCCCTCGATTCTGAATGTGTTAACACACAATCTTTCAATAAATCTACTTATGGATCAGGACGATCTACTAAAGCTTAAGCATTTACTGTTATGTACAGACTTTTTTTTTAGTTATATGAACTTACACCTTGGAGTGGAATAAGCCATTTTTAACAAAAGTGTTTTTGTACATCGTTGAACTTTTTAAAAGCGGGATCCTTAGGATGAAGTTTTTAGTAAAATTAAGATCTGAAGACATTTTTTTCAGTTTGGAAATTTGTTGATATCCTTCTTAATTAAAAAGGAAATATATATCCTTGCTTTACTAAAAACCTAAAGGGTTAACACATACTTATTTTTAAGTTGTGAACGAATTTGACTCCAAAAAATTATTGTCTTATTTTTCTTGGTTATATTATTTCTTAAGGTTAGAATTTCTTTTTTAGTTTTCTTTCATTTCTTCTTTTTTCTTTTAAAGTAATGTTTACAACACCCTATGATTTAGGGTATAGGTTCACCCTTCAGATTTAGAATTTTTTTTTATCTTAGGCACAGTAGTTGCACTATTTGAAGTGTGTGAAAATTCAATTACAAGTGCAGCTGTTGCAAGCAAGAAGTTGAAATAGTTAAAATCATATTACAGAGAACATATATAAAGGAAAGATATTAAATATTTACTGTTTTAGTAAATATTTGACTACATATAAAATGTAGTCAAATATTTGTAAAATATGTGTACAGAATAAACAAAAGCAATACAACAAATACCTGTGACCTAACATACAATTGAAGAAAATTACTATGCCCTTTAAATTCCCTTGCTTACACTTTTTGTAATCACATTCCTTTTCTTTCCTTTTCAGAGACCATCACTGTCCATAAATATATAATTTCCATTTTTCTTCATAGTTTTTTGATAGTATTTGCATTCTTAAGCAGTATTCATGTGTCATGTTTGTGAACTTTGTGAAAATGATGTCACACATCTTTTTTATTTGTTTTTGCAAATCATAATTACTATTTGAATCATAACTCACTCATTTCACTGCACTATAAAATTGTTTAGTGTTATAGTTGACCTTGATTTGATTCTTCTACCTTACGAGTATAGTAATACTTCCAACACTATTTTATCTACATAGGCATTTACTTAATTCTTTCACCCTTAGAGCAGGGATAAAACGGTAAAGGTGACAGAATTTCCCAAGTTGTCCTTTTGGAATTTAATTAACTCTAAATTTGAAGGTTCATTTAACTGAAGCAACGTTAGTCAAATGTTGATAAACTCAAATATGGTAAATTTCATCAGTGGAGACTTAAAAATTATGATTTTCAAAATCTGAATTTTTAGTGGGATAACTGAGATGTAAAGGACTCGTACAGTATCTTAACCTCAGCAGCTATTCAATGTTAAAATTTGATATAAGTGCTAAGTATGATAATTTCCCAGAAAAGAAGTTATTTTCATGTTTAATCATTCTTAGTTGTGTAAATATTTTCAATTCAGTTTATTACAGAAAAAAAATTCCTTTTTTTTTAAGTATCTTGCTTATTTTTTTTAGGGATTTTTTAAGATTTATTTATTTATGAATACAGAACTGGGGTACAGGCCAGAGGTGCAGGGGTGGCGAGAGAACCTACCAGAGACAGAATAGGGAGCAGAGTAGGCAGATCAACAAAGTACACTGCTGAGGGGAGTAGCGAGTAGGTCGGAAGAGGTCTGCCTCGCCACGTGGATCGTGTCTGGGGCGTGATCAAACTCCCGCCAAAGCGGCTGCAGCTAGCTTGTAGGGCTGCACTCTAACCCGTTGCGCCACAAGGGAGGGGCCCCACAATTTGCTTTTTAAAGTTAAAAATATTAATAAAACATTTTAAATTGAAATCTAAATTGATTTTTAAAGTTTGATATTGGTTTTGTGATAACAAAACAAATTTTTGTTATATTTTAGGGAATTATTTTATGACTAGAAAATTAAACAGTATGTGACAGTTAAACTTCCACTGACATAGAAAGGGAATACACCAGACTGAGAATGATGTAGTATTGCATAATACTTCTCAAAATGTGGCATCCTTGATAAAAATATAAATGACTCTGATATAGATCCTAACAGAATAAGATTGCAGTGAATTTTGCCTATATTTGTGTAATGGGAGTGAACATTCTAATATAAAGTTATATTAAATAGCTCAATTTGGGTGAAATATCATAGTTTACAAAATGCTTCATATACATATCTTTATTTGATACTTAAATCTTCTGAGGCAATCTGAGCCAGTATTATTAACTTCTTTTTAACAGTTAAGTAAAGGACAAATAATACAAAGCTGAGAGAGATTATATGATTTGCCTAATCAAGTTGTGAGGAAATGGAGCCTGTTCAACTAAGGTCTCCTTGATTCCTAATCCAGTATTTTGGAACATATATAGCAGATTTTGACAAGGGTGAATCAATAATAAGATAATTTCTGCTGCTTGCTTTCTATAGTTCAGGTGCCCATTTAGTAATGTAATAGTGAAATGAAGAATTATTTCAACTGGTCTGCTGTCTTTCTGGTTTCTGTAGTAATTAGATTCCGTTTTCTAAAAGCTCCTATACCAAATGAAGCTCACAGTCTTTCCTGCTTGTAATGGAACAACTCATTTCTTAGGCAGGCAAAGAATACTTTACTGCTTTCATTTTTCTGAAGTTTTTTTTTTTAATTTAATTAGCAAAATTCACTAGCCTAGTACTTTTCAAGTGACAGATGAAAGAAATTAGAGCTACAGAAGAGGTAAGGTCTGTTAGCAGAGGCAAATCAAAGGTGAGGTGGAGAACAGAAGTTTAAAGACAAGCGTAATGGATTTGCATGTTTATCATGGGTGACCTCAAAAAATCATTCAATTTCATAATAAGAAAGCAAGAGATGAACACAAGAAGACAGCTTCAAAGCTGAATCTAAGATTCAAGTAAATAGGTAAAAAATAGTCTTGAACTGTTAAGAAAACTATATGTATTTACCATTTCTGTAAGTTATAATTCCTAAGATTTCAATGCTATTTCAATAATTATTGGTGATATTTCGTGATTATAATGTGTTTATCAGGATTAGCATTTCTCTAGAAACCTTTGATTTTCACTCAAGACTTTAAAATTGCATTTTGCATACCTTTTAAAACTTAAAAGTTTAATAGTCAAATTAAACTATATTCTGTTACCAAATTGATTGATTTAAAAAGGGTGATAGGGTGATAAAGAATAAAGAATTTTCTGTTTTTTTAAGGATTCTTTTCCACTTGTGCTGATTTTAAATTAGTTTTGAGAGTTATGTGACCCAGAAATTCTTCAATGTAGGTGTAAGTGCTCACAGAGAAACTCATTGTTAACAAATCCTTATTTTTATTCTTTCACCATTCAGAAGCTATTTGAAGAAAACTCTTGAGTGAAGAAAAAGCAAAACTAAGAGACTTTTATCGAAAGGTAAGGTAACAACAACAACAACAAAAAAAAACAGTCGTTTTCTTAAAAGACTACTATCCTATACTCTGTATTACATTTTACTGAGGGTAAAACCCACTCACTTACTTTCAGATACTGCTTTTATTT